GGCGTGCTGGAGTTTCCATTGACTGGGCCAACGGTCAACACTCAAGTAATTAGTCACAGTTTTCAGGATGTAGTGTGTCAGCCAGGGGTCTGCCTATCCACGTGGGGAGGTTGCTGCTCACAGGAGAGAGAAGATGAGATCTGCCCCTGCAGCTGGCAGGCTCTGGGATGATTGTCAGAGGCCTGAAGTGATTCAGCCATGGAGAACAGCAGGCAGCAATTTCACTGCCACTTTTTATCTGTCCCTCTCTCTGCTGCATGTTGCTGGCTAGTAGCAAAGGCCTAAAAGGGAAAGCTGGGGAAGAAAAATAAGGGGAGGTGGGAAGGCACTTGAAATAATTTCCTTAGCTGAATTCAAATGAGCCTCTTCTAAGGAACAATGGTGACTGGCCAGACCCAGCTTGAAGACTTATCTTAAATAAAACACAAAAGCTGGGGAAATCCTTAGAATCAGAAATACAGGGCAAATTACACTGTCTCTGCCTACCTCTTTTCACGGTAGATTCCCTAACCCGTTCATTCTTTCTCTCAGAGTGAGTTTGGGGGCAGGGAAATGAACATTAGGAAATGTCAGATCTACCAGTCTCTTTATTGTAGTCAGTTCTAAACACGGTGCTTACATGTTGTTAGTTTGTTATCAAAGCTATTACTTCAAGGATCTATCGATTCACAGAATACCATTCTTTTTTCTGTCAGCAAGAGCTGTTTTCCTATATTTAGCCAAAATCCCAAAAGACTCATTTAAAGTCATCTGGTTTAACTCTTCAGTAGATGACAAGGTCCCTCACGCCCAGCGAATAGCGAGTTACTACTGAGTAAAGAACCCTCCCTCCTTTTCGAAACAGCATGTCCCCAATTTGAATCGTTCTGTCCCATCCTTCATCCTTTAGCCAAGCCACAGCTTGAAGACCCAAGCTTTCCACTTTGCGTTCTTGAAGCAACTCAGAGCAAAATGTCTTCTGCTTCTACATTGCATTCCTCAGCTCATTGTGGACTCCTGTTTTGTCCTTTTTGAGTCTTGCCTTTAGGGCATAAATGATTGTCAATAGGTTTTGTCTGTCCATTCATTCATCAAATATTTATTGACAATACTGTATGTCAGACAAGGCACCAAAAACACAAAGATGAATACTACTCAGTTCCTGCCTTCTACAAACTCAGTTTGGAGGAAAGAGAGAAATAGATAACTACAAAGTAGCATGGTGCATGAGATTGATAAGCATAGAAATCTACAAAAATACAGAAGAGTGACCTACCCAGTAAGGTGGGGTTGGGGTGATCCCTGAACAGTGCTTAGAAAAGATGCCGTCTGAGCCACATCTTATCAAATGAGAACTGGACTAGACAAGGGAAGTTTCTGGTAGTAAAAACAGCCTGAGTAAAGACCAAGAGATAAGTAAACTGTAGCTTGTTCAGGAAAGCTATCAGCTCAGCATTTCTAAGGGCTAACGTGTAACCTTTAAATAAAATAGACAAGGTTAAGAGCTAGATCATGAATATTTTTCTCAAACAACCAAGTTTTGCATACCCTCTAACTATATTGATATTATCAGGAGAAAGCATTTGGGCAACGTGTTTGCCTTCATCTTTGCTCTCATTAATCAAGAAATTAGTATACCTAAAGTGCCAACTTGTAAAAGCAATATACTCTGATTGATGTTCTTGGAGCTAGACCCAAATTACACTGAAAATGCTTGTTTTTGTTTGTTCCATTGCAAATAACAGGAAATACCTGAAACTGGGTGGTTTATAAATATGATAGTTTATTTAACTCTTGGCTTGTAGGCCCGAGGTCCAGGGGTCCTCTCTGGTGGAGTGCTCCTGGCTGCATCACAGCCTGGGCCAGGACCAGGAGACATGGTGTATGTCCCATGTATGTCCCAACCTGCCTTATTTTCTCTTTTTATAAATCTACCTGGACTCAGTCAGAGCCCACCCTGAATAGCCAGTCACTAATCTCTTTCCCAAAACCTCACCTTTCACTATGTAACTAGATTGTGTTTTCACCCTAATCCTATTACAATGACTCAACACTTGAACTTGAGTGGGTGAGGGGGGGCAGCGGCTAGTCAACTGTAAGGAAACTCAGATTCTCATTCTTTCCTTCCAGAACTTCTGGATCTTAAAGAAGTTCCCTCATAAATCACCTAAATGCAGTCCACACGGCTATATACAGTTAAAATTATAGTACATTAAATGTACCTTCACACGATGCCAAGTTTTCACTGCATTTTCTGCTCTCTTGATTCCCCATCAAAGCAGAAATGTTTTTCATCTCTGTAGCGTTAGAGTCTGTAACTTGGTGGTCCACCAGTAGTGCTAGAGCTATTGGTCTCAACAGGTACTTAAGACCCAAAATGAATTCCAATGCACTCTGCTCTTAGGAACTTCAAAGTTAAGACTTATCCCATCTGATGCCTTTTGCTTTGTTTGTTCCAACCTTATGTATGTTTTTTGGATCTGGCATATCTTTCTAATCTCAGGGATTTTACGTGAATTCTTCCTTCTGTGTTCTTCTCTGTGTCACCAAGTCACAGTGTTTGGTTTCCCTCACAGCCATTTTTACAATCTGCATTTCTCCTTCTCATATCTCAGAAACTGACATATTCACATCTATAGGTCGAGGCTTAGTCTGTGTCCAGGTACAGAGTTGGAGTCTAATAAATATTAAATAAACTCTTGATTATGTGACTGCTAATAAGTAATACCTGTTTCAGTAAACACTAAAATTTTTCAAAGAGCAACCAGAATTTAAAAATATGTCAAAAGAAATGGGGTTTTATTTGTCATGGCTAAACTATATTCTTTTCATCCTTTCAGTATAAATGTACAATTGTGGGAGAGGAAAAAAAAAAAACCTTTGGAATTCAGTTTTATTAAGTGATTAAATAAAAATTGCTAAACATTACCTTGACATTTGCAGTGGTATAATGCTATGACTGATCTTATATTGACATTGAACTTTTCTGACTGAGTGCCCTAATTAATTTCCCTGGATTAACTATTAAATTCCTAGTCCTCATATCTTTTTACTCAGGAGTGGAACTTAAGTGATTAGGAATTCAGGAATTTAATAAGCTATATTTGTTGTAAAAGTATATAGAGAACTATCCAGTGATAGTACTGATTAAATAAATGATGATAGATGATAAAATATTATTTAGCCATTTAAAATGGATAATCACAAAGACTTTCTCTCTGGACATAAAAGGCTTAAAATATCATGTAAATTAGAAAGAAATCAAAATACAACTATAGAAACATTAGCTACATCATGAAAGTGGAGGTTAAAAAAGAAACTGCAAGTATGAAATACATTAAATAAAGTGGTCTGTGGATTTAGGGAGGCCTTTTAATTATGCTTTACACACAAATTTTTGAAGAATATATGTACATCGGATGCCAATTACTATAATCTAGGAGTAGGTATCAAAACTTTATAGAATATAAGCTACTCATATTTATATGCCATAGCAGTATTGCATGCGTTGTCTACTGCTATTTTAAATTAAAGCCTGTTTATTACTGAAAAATAGCTCATGAGTATTAAGACTCTAGAAGAGAAACCTGCCTTCTGAAGTTGAAATTCCTTGTTACATAGGAACATATTTAACAAAAAGAAAATGTGCAAATTTCACCATTCTATTAAATAAAATATTTCCATGCAGCTTGTGCTTTTCCATTCTTTTTTTATGAATGTGTAAGTCTCACAACTGACACTCTAATGACTCCTTACATTTTCCATCATATACAATTTGTAAGCTTTTATTTTCAACATCATAATGTTCATTTTTTAATTGTAGTGTGAAGGAAACATTTCTTAAAGTTCTTAAAAAGAAAAGTAGAATTTCTTGTTCAAAAGAAACTAGTAGATTTCATCATTATTATAATGTCAGTTCCTTTGAAGGTGGTAACTGTGGATGGGAAGACTTTTACTATCAAGGTAAATGCTTTACCAACTCAGACATTTTGATCAAGTAGCTTGACTCAGTACAGGTAGAGAAATATTTAAATATAAAAAAAAAACACAGCAAAGAACATGACTATTCAGAATCTTTGTTTAGGCCCTAAAAGTAACAAATAATCAATAAGTAATTGCTCTGTTAGGTGATGGTGTCATTTCATTGAATGTATAGTTTCATATTGAAAAAATTCGCAATTATTTTATTTTAATTTTTATAATGAGCCTGTGAAGCTATTGATTTCAACTGTTTAATTTTCTAAATTTTTATGTTTTATATAATCAAACTTTAAATGACAATCAATACAGTTAAATTTGTATGTTTTTTAAAAAGTGGAATTTAGGGAACCAGCAGTTAGCGTAATGGTTATGTCGCTGGATTCCTACGTAGTCAACCGCAGTTCACGTCCCAGACCCGGTGGCTTAGAACTCACGCCGGGCGCGTGTGTGTGCGTGCCCAAGATCCCGAGAGGAGAATGGAGGAGAAGGGATTACGGCGTGACCATCCCCCATGGGGGGTGATTTCTCGCTTTCCATCTCTCTTCTCTCTCTGTCTGTCTGGCGAGCGTACGCACCCTATAGTGAAAACCTCTCGAGAAAAAAAAAAAAGTGGAATTTAAAAAAATATTTAATTTAATTAATTAATTTATTTATTTTTGTTTGATCAGAGAGCAACAGAGCAAGAGGGGGGCTGGGGGGAGTGAGAGAGCAAGCTGCCAGGTCTGGGACTATGACTACATTCGGCCATGTGGGAGTCCAGTGCCCTTAACCACCATGCCACCTATCTGCCCCCAAAAGTGGAATTTCTTAAAGTTCCCAAAACAAAAGCAGAATGCCTCTTGAATTCTTGCAAAGCAGGGACAAGCTTAGTGTTTTTCCTGACCTTCCTTTCTCTGCTGACCATGCAATTTATGGCTTTGCTTACAAGCCTCTTATCACCTGATTTCCATTTGAGTAGTAATATGATAATTCAAAGTGCAAGGGGAACTAGGTTTTAGGTGACAGCCACATCATTTAATATTTGCTTGTTGTTTCTACAGGGGAATTCTGGGCTGGGATTCAGTATTGCTGGAGGGACAGATAATCCCCACATTGGAGATGATCCTGGCATATTTATTACGAAGATTATACCGGGAGGTGCTGCAGCAGAGGATGGCAGACTCAGGTAAAGATCTGAAACGTAAGAATTATTTGGAAAGTAAATCTGATACATCAGTGAGACATATTTGTACCTTTGAAGACTAATAAGTACACAATTTCTGTACTTGAAAGAGAAGTTTGTCAAAGCAAGCTTCTTTTGTAACTTTGCAGATCTCTTGATACTTAACTGAATGTCAACTAGTATTTAATTTGTGTTTTGTTGATGGCTATCACATTCAGCATTGGACCAGGCACATGAGAAGGAGATTTAGAAGTATCTTTTGTTTTCATAAGACCTACTGTCTAGTTGGAAAGAATAAAAATATAAACCAATGAGCAAATTACATAATTTATTATATACATATACTATGGGAAGCATTAGCAAATAATGTAATGTTACAGATACTATGTGGATTTAGAAACTATTTACAGGGCTTTCTCTAGGAGTTTAAAAAAGCTGAAAAACTATTCCATAGGAAGATTCTAGTCTGGGTCTTAAAGGATATTATGATTTCACTACCCCTACAAGTCTAAGTGGAATACAGAGAAAGAGCACATTTTCCCAGGGTAAAGAAGAAAATCAGCTTGATTTGGATAAAGAAAACATAGTGAGTTTGGATGGAGTGGAGCCAAATACTGCTCAGTGATAGAGGAGCAGCTGCCTGAGCCAGGCCGCTCTCTTTAAAGAACCTAAAGACAGGGACCAGCAATTAGCATAATGGCTATGTCCCTGGACTCCCATGTAGTTGACCGTGGTTCGAGTCCCAGACCCAGTGGCTTAAACTCACACTGGGCAGCAGTGTGTGCATGCCTAAGATCCCAAGAGGAGAATGGAGGAGAAGGGATTGCGGCGTGGCCATGCCCCTGAGGGGTGATCTCTCACTTTTTATCTCTCTCTGTCTCTCTGGCGAGTGCACATGCCCTATAGCAAAAACCTCTCCAATAAAAAAAAAAGAACCTAAAGATAATTTTCAGAAATCAGAACATTTACATGGGATAATAATAAATAACATAAAATGCTATTAGAGATCAGAACACTAGCTGAAGAGCTAAAATGGTTGGAAAAAGGAAGATTTTCCTGCAGGGAAATAGTGTACTCTAAGGTCATCCTATTAGGTCATCAGGAAAGTCGTGACATATTTTTCTATTTTTCTATGTAAAAATGCATCCTGACTTTCTTAATAGTGCTTTTATTAGATAGCAGATCCCTTCTGGCCAAGAAGGTTACATGAATTTATATATTTGTGTGTATGCATATATATCTATATATATACATACATATATGATATATACACATATATACATGTATATATGCATACAGAGAGAGAGCCATATCTCAGTAAATTCTTGCTGAGTTTTCAAATGAGTGAATAAATAGAGAAGAAGAAAGAAAAGAAATATTATAGTTAGGGAGGAAGATAGGGAAGGTATGGTAAAGAAAAATTACTTGTGACACTTAGAGACTATAAGGAAAACTGTTCAAAAGGGATTACTGCAATGGTTTTGCAGTTGGAGGGGTAGTTTGGATTTAACTCTAAATACAAGGGCAAGTGAAGAGATATAGCCAAGGAGCAGGGGTATGGGGGTAAGATGGGTGTCTGTGGATAGAAAATTACTAAGAGAAACCATCATAGGTAAGGAAAATGCTAACTAGAAGGACTTAATAGGTTTCTTACTGAAAGCAGACCAGGGTGATAAGCTATTGAGGTGGGGAAGAGGGGATAAGAAATTTGATCAGATCCAGGATAAGGGATTTCTTTAAACTGACCCAGTAGGATTCTTGCTGAAACAAGTGGGCCAAAGACAAAGTCCAAGGTCTAGCCTAGTTGAGAACAGAGCTCAGAGAAACCTGACTCATGTATTTCAAGGGGAGAGTCTTTGTCAGGTAGTTCAAGCAAAGTCCTGTAGGCAAGAATGAGCTTAGCTTGCATGGAACCACAGTGAGGAATGTGACCTAAGTGGTAGAAGTGTAAGCACCATCGCCCTTCCTCAATTCTCTTTTCTTTTTTTTAACCATAAATAAGCTAGTTTGCTGTTTTTCTTAAGAAGCAGTCAAAGACTTGTTCTTACCCAGTTGTTCTGATGTGGTGATTACGTTTGACAGCTGTGTCTTTGTAGCTTGTGAAGGAGAATCACATTTCTTTCAGGTACATCTGCATCTCCTATCTACAAGGAAAGGCATTCCCACATAAAGTACATGCGTTTTGTCAGTAGACTTTCCAAGCTGAATTGACTGAATTACTTTCAGATTGAGGACATATGCATGCTGCAGAGTGACAAGGTTGAAATAGGTGCTGTGTAATTCTAGGAATCATGGTGGAGAGTATGTTTGCTAAGAAGCTCCACTTTTAAATCATAGAGAAAGACTTGTTAATGAATAATGCAGAAATTGGTGGGCCACATTCATCATTCTAAACCACTCTCTTTATCTATAAGTGGGGGGAACTTCTCCTCCTGAGCCCCATTCTGGCTCTAAGCTTGAGATGGACTCATTTAAACTCTCACCCAGGGGTGGAATCCCCATCATGCAGCCTCTGCCTGAAGCTCCCAGAGGGTAAGTCTTCACAATGTTAAGAGGCAAGTTTTTTGTTTTGCTTTTGTTTCTTGTTGTTTTTTTTTCTTTTCCTTCTTTCCTTTTTTCTTTTCCTTTCCTTTTTTTTCTTTTCTCTTTTGAGAGGCTTTTGCTATAGGGCATGTGTGCTCGCCAGAAAGACAGAGAGAGACAGAGAGACAGAAAGCGAGAA